TCCTCACGCTGGGCGCCATGTGGGACCAGAGCTTGGTTACGTGGCACTGAGTCGTCAAGATGTCCGAGAGGAGATGCTCCTTGTCCGAAAGCAAATTCAGGAATGATCGTACGTGCGCAGGAATGAATCGAGGCGTCCACGCTCGGCGCGTTTCTCCATCGTCGGCTCGGGACCTTCAGAACCAGGCGCATAGTCTTGCCTCTGCTTCAGGATGGCCTGTCAAGCGTGACCGGGCCCGTCTCTGAGTGTCGTCTGCGAGACAAAAACTGCAATCCTGCATTTGAGACGGTGACAACTTCAGAAAGCGGACCTTGTTGTCTTGGAAGATGTAGCGGAATGCATGCGGAGATCCCGACGTTGTGCACTATCCTGTCGAACAACATGCCGTACATGTGCCGGGCTTCTTTCATTCAGACTCTAGGAACGTCACTAAACAATTGTCATCGGCAGAAGAGGTTTAAGTTTACATGTAGTAAACATTCGCCGATGGGTTTGTTAAGGCACTTCACGATGCGGCTTAGTGGTAATCGACCCTTTTAAAGTTCACTGGTCGCGCAGCTCTCATCAGTCGCCTCCTATCAGTGGTCAAACTGTGGGCAGCAACGTTTTTTTAAATAACGAGGTTCATTTTTTTTGAAGTCGACGTGTAATCTGTCTGGATGTCGGCAAGGCCCGCAAGACGCCGTAGATCTTAAAGTTAGATTACCGGAACTACTGCTGTCATGATTGTACCGAGTTCGTAGCATGCACGATCAGCGGGACGAATCTCCGAGCAGTAGATGATTCCAATGAGACGGAATAACAAAATCACCGTGTGTTCTTAAAACGGGGTTAGACACAGCCAGCAAGTGCCAACGCAGAAGGTGATAGCCGAGAATATCGTAGCACGACGGCCGGATTGATCAGCAACGTAGCCGCTGGTCAAGGCACCAAACAACCGAGGTGGCTCACTGCACTGTAGGTAGTGAAGAATACCGGTCCGTCATTGGTTTTTTTCAGACTTACCATAGATCTCGGATGGCGAGAAAAAAGTTGTACGTTGATCAGAAGCCATCCCGTCATCGTCTGCATGTTCGCACTACCGGGCGGTTTCTTCTTTGGTTACGACCGAGGCGCTCGTCGTAGGATGGCATAACCTCACGTATGAGGACTTTTCGCTGTAAGCCTACAAGGACAACAAGCTTCGCAAGTGATGGCTGATCTCGCTGAGTAAAAGGCGAAATTTTGTCGCGATCCTTGTGCACAATCAGACCGATAGACATACTACTACCAGGTAGCATTTTGTGGTAATGAAAGACAAATGATTAATGAATCCAAAATCACGGACAGGTGTTCCTTCGCTTTGCGCTACAGCTTACAGAGGAGGTCAGAGGTCTCGAACGGATGACACTGCGAGAGGTATTTAGTGTTGAACAACATCCCCCCAGTCATCACTGCTGCCTGTCACAGGTTTCGAATCTAAACTGACGCTAGTCGCCGGTGTCGGGTTGGGCAAGATCCGCTTTGGGGTCGCTGTCACCGATGTAGCTGGTGTCGGAATGGGCGCGATAGGTTTCGGCGTTGCAGTCACACTAGCTACCGGTGTCGGGTTGGGCGAAGGTGGCTTCGGAGTTGTTGTCACGCTAGACGTCAGCGTCGGGCTCGACGTGGTCGGCCTTGGGGTCGTTGCCACCGATGCAGCCGGCGTCGGGTTGGGCGTGGTAGGTCTCGGCGTTGTAGTCACACTATCCACCGGTGTCGGGTTGGGCGAAGGTGGCTTCGGAGTTGTTGTCACGCTAGACGTCAGCGTCGGGCTCGACGTGGTCGGCCTTGGGGTCGTTGCCACCGATGCAGCCGGCGTCGGGTTGGGCGTGGTAGGTCTCGGCGTTGTAGTCACACTAGCCGCCGTCGTCGGGTTGGGCGTGGTAGGTCTCGGCTTTGTAGTCACACTAGCCGCCGCCGTCGGGTTGGGCGATGGTGGCTGCGGAGTCGTCGTCACGCTTAATGCCGGCGTCCGGTTCGGCGTGGTCGGCATTGCAGTCGTTGTCACCGATGCAGCTGGTGTCGGAATGGGCGCGATAGGTTTCGGCGTTGCGGTCACACTATCCACCGGTGTCGGGTTGGGCGAAGGTGGCTTCGGAGTTGTTGTCACGCTAGACGTCAGCGTCGGGCTCGACGTGGTCGGCATTGGGGTCGTTGCCACCGATGCAGCCGGTGTCGGACACAGTGTGGTAGGTTTCGGCGTTGCTGTCACACTAGCCGCCGGCGTCGGGTTGGGCGATGGTGGCTGCAGCGTCGTCGTCACGCTCGATGCCGGCGTCGGGTTCGGCGTGGTCGGCATTGGGGTCGTTGTCACCGATGTAGCTGGTGTCGGAATGGGCGCGATAGGTTTCGGCGTTGCGGTCACACTAGCCACCGGTGTCGGGTTGGGCAAAGGTGGCTTCGGAGTTGTTGTCACGCTAGACGTCAGCGTCGGGCTCGACGTGGTCGGCCTTGGGGTCGTTACCACCGATGCAGCCGGCGTCGGGTTGGGCGTGGTAGGTCTCAGCGTTGTAGTCACACTAGCCGCCGGCGTCGGGTTGGGCGGTGGTGGCTGCAGCGTCGTCGTCACGCTCGATGCCGGCGTCGGGTTCGGCGTGGTCGGCATTGGGGTCGTTGTCTCCGATGCAGCTGGTGTCGGGTTCGGCGTGGTCGGC